GCGGTCTTATACTCACTTACTTGGAAATGAGCTCAACTAAACCCAATGAGAATTATTTGTGACTCAACATGCAAAGGAATGGATACTCAACAAGTCACAGTAAAGTCTTAGCACTGTATCCAAGTGCAAGAATTGTAAAATTTTCATATTCTTTCTTTAGGGTGATCAGTATTGCCAGTCCTACCATTGGCCAGAATGAAGCAAGTGCCTGGCAAACATTTGCACAAATAGTAGTCAGATATTAAAGGGCCCATCTACACACACATACACCAAACTAGCAGGTCAAAACAAAAATAAAAATATAAAGACGATCAAAACATTGTGGCACTTTTAAGACTGTTATATTTTAATGTGAGCTTTTGTGGAGAAGTCCACTTTTTCAGACACTTCTTCTTTGCCTGACATGTTAGCACAAACTAATACAGCAATGTCTTCTAAAACTCCTGTATGGAGAATTAGTGCAGGGAAAGGGCCCCAAAGGGAGACCTACAAGGATATCTGCAAGGAGGATCTGAAGGCCTTAAGAATGGACCTCAACAGATGGGAAACCTTGACATCTGAGCATCCAGCCTGGAGGCAGGCAGTGCTTCATGGCCTCTCCCAATTTGAAGAGACCCTTGTCCAGCAGGCTGAGGCAAAGAGGCAGACCCGGAACCAGCAAAACCAGGGAGCTGGAGAGGGGACAGATTGTATTTGTCTTCAATGTGGAAGGGACTGTCACTCTCGTTTTGGCCTTCTCAGCCACACCAGACGCTGTTCCAAGTCCTCCATACAGCGCACGTTACCATAGTCTCTCAAGACTGAAGGATGTGCACTTTTAAAACCCCAAGCTAGATTACCACCATAAGGTATAATGGAGATTGATGTCTCATGCCAGTGCAGTCAGCTTCCATATGTGAATTAAGGAAATGGAAAGTTCTTTTCCTTTGCCCCAGGCAGCAAAGTCTCTTGGGCTGCTCCTGGCAGTGCACAGTGTGGGCAGGGCCACAGGATGGTTGCCCTGGGTGCAAAATTCTTAGGTGTGCAAACTTTCAGCCCTGCTATGGAACCATCAGGAGAGATGCAGCATGCAGTAGGTGAGAAAGAATGTGAGCCTTACCTCCCCTTGCCTCCCTCCTGCTGGCTGTAGCTCCCTCACTCACTCTGTTTCCCCCTTTTTTGGGCAGGTGGAGGCAGTGAGGTTTGGTGATGGCCAAGCGGACCTGCCCCCTTGGAGAGAGTGGCCTGGAGGACAAAGGGCAGACCGGAGCAACTTGGTCTCCTTCCCCCTGGTGTAAATGAAGTGGGCCGGCTGACACCGAGCCCCCTTCCCTGCCGCTTACTAAGGTGACCTTGAGGGGGCGCAATACTTGACTTGCCCTTGGTGCTGGCAACCTATGCTGTGCCACTGGCTCCTGGCCCTCAAGCTGTTCAAAAATTATGACTTAACGTTTGCCTTCAAGGCAGTTTTTTTGTTTTGTTTTTTGTTACTAAATGTCTATATACTAATTAGAAGTATATTTGTTAGCTAAGGTGCTGTGTTTGAAGGAATAGGTAGCATTATCTTGAACAGGACAATGTTGTCCGTGGACACTTCCGTACACCACCCTTCTTTTACCCACTACAGAAGATGCTCTCCTCCTCTGGCACTCCAAGAAATATTCCTCATGTGGAGATCAAGCAGAACAAAATAAAAGGAACCACCAAAGCTGCCTACCATGTGTGTTGGAGCATGTATGAAAAAAGCTCCCCTCGCAGTGTCACACATTCTTCCCTGTAATTGGACTAGTGTGTACAAGTACACTTCAAATGATGTACTGTACTTTGTGTGTGGGCCTGGGAATCTAGACAGAAACATTTTAAAATGGCAACACACCACATGAATCAGAGTGAAGCATTTATCATATCAGTCTTGCACTTTTTGGGATCACAACCATTTGATATTGCGCACAGATTATGCTTCTGGCCAAAACACCACTGTGGTGCTGCTTCTGTTTCTGAATTATATTCCTTATATGGAAATTCAAGAACAATTCAGACAACCCTGACTTTGTTAAGATCTTTTGAGAGTATATTTTGTCTCATTCTTTTCTTTCTCAGTAACCCCCCCTCTGCCAAAAGAGCCGTGCAACTCATAATAATGTAAACAAATATAATGCTCATAAAATTATTCTCCAGCTAGTTTTTATGTATGTGGTTTTAAACTATTAACTCAGTACTGTACAGAAAAACCTAGAGAAAATGATGCATTCTTGTGAGTTGTTAGGAAACTCCTTCATTCTGTTGCTGCCATTTTAGAGCATGACTTCGCTAAGAAAAGGTTTCCAAGGAAATAGTTCTGTAATAAAAATGATACCATCATTTGCAATAATAACATGTTATCCAGAAAACCATACATTTGCTTTAACCTTGAGAAGCAGGGTGAAAGTAACGGCTGCAACGCCTCAGCTGCTAGGGTCAGGATGTTGCGCTCTTAAGAGTTATTGTATTCAGTCGATCATTTGAAGTACAGCATACCTTTCATACAACAAATATGTTATCGGCTTGGGCATATTACTGCTGAGCCCAGATATTTATCTGCTCAGGTTAACTCTCAGAGATTCACTTCTTTCTATGTTTGTAGATCTCTCCACTATGTTCCCTATAAGATATATTAAGTATCGTACTATGAAAGTGACACAGATAAAAGAGCTGAAGTTCAAAGTGGCATATTACGGAGATGCCACAGATATTTTTAGCATTTGAATTGGCTGTCAAAGGTGTCTGACATGCAGAATTCATGACAAAAGTGATCAAGCAATTAGTTGGATGATGAGGCGCCTTACAGCTTTCGTCACAAGTTTAACATGATATTTCTACACAATCGCTGGTGTATAAAAGGCAGCACATTGCTTTTAATTGAGTTTCATTTGCCATTGTATGTAAAATCATGTTAATCACTTCACCAAAAATAGATGAACTTCAGGAACAATCACATAGGCTGTGCATAACCTGAGAATGATTTCCTTAGAAGATTCATCACATCTATTCAAGAAGTAAAACTAGAAATAAATAACGTAGACTTGAAATCTTCTTAAGTTCCTGAGTACTGGGGCTCATGAAAGTCTTCATGTATCTTCTCTAACAAGCATAGAATAAAGTAAATTTTGGAACAATAGTGACTTAAATGTCTGTGTAATTTATGTGGCAATGGGCCTGAATTAATTAATTCCCTTGACCCCTAGCATGTATACAAAAAGTGGCATTTTTGGTCATAGTCACCTTCTTAAGGTAAATGTATTTTTTATATTTCTATGTAATAATTGTTAATTAATTTGATTAATAAATATATTAAAGGACATTTGGTATGTCAAAGATCTTAAATGCACACTTCATTAAGTTGTAGGGTTCCTTGCAGAAGGGTGTTTAGTGCTGGAGGGCAAGCAGGTTGTATACATCTGGATTAAAACACAGTATTATGAAGCATGAGATGTAACTCAGAGAAAGCACCTAAATCCAGTCAAAGATGGTATTAGTGAATAGTTCAACCATGACAGCTTTATAAAGGTTTATGCTAGATTGTGCATTTCTTTAATGCTTCATTAAATTGTAGAGTCACATTGTAAAGCGTGTTGAGATCATCAGGAGAGTCCCTTCTCTCGGCCCCACCAGCTTCACAGTTGCCTTTGGTGGGAATAAAAGAGAGGGCTTTCTCTGTTACTGTTACCCAGTCTCTGGAACTCCCTCCCACAGGAATCCGGGCTGGCACCGTCTTTGCTGTCCTTTTGCCAGCAGGCAAAGACTTTTCTCTTCAGGCACACTTTCCCTCAGTGACTGACTGCCTGTTTGGGATTTTTAAAAGGATTGTTATGCTTTACAGCTCTGAATGTGTTTTTAGTATTGCTTTTGTTTACTATTTCTGAGAATGGTATTTGTTTGATCCTTTTTAACTTTAATGTTTAGCTTGGAATATTGTCTTTTAATGATGTAAGCCACTTTTGTATACTCATTGTTTTTAGCTTTAAACATTGCCTTTTAATGATGTAAGTCACCTTGGGTCCTTTTTAAGGAGAAAGATGGGGTAAAGATATTTTAAATAAATACATAATAAATAAACAAACAAATAATATACAAGAAATAGGATTTCAACTAAACTTTGAAAGAATCTCCTAACAGTCAGAGCTTAATGACAGTGGAATGGACTAACTCAGAAAGTGGTATCATTTCCTTCATTGTTGTTTTTTAAATCAGTAGTAGAGATGGGGGTATTTCTATTCATATACTGTACGAATATCCCCACACAGGTGGAAATAACTGTCCACTCTTGATTTTGCCGCTGCCACTGGCTCCGTGGAGATTTCCTATTGCGCTGTTCTCTGCAATGGATTAGCCACTCTCTGACCCAGTAGAGAGGCTTGTCATCCCACCTCCTGTCAAGACTGGGTAATCGATTGTGGACAACGGCACAAGAGAAACCTTCCACGGAGCCAGCGGCAGCGGCAAAATTGTGGGTGGAGCCTTATTATTTCCACCTGTCCAGGGATATTCATATACAAATACCCCCATCTCTAATCAGTAGCATAGCTATCCATCAGACATGTTTCAACTGTTAATTTCCAGCATCGGTTCTGCGGGTCTTCTCAGCAGCTTATGATATTCTTGACCACGGTATCCTTCACACAGCTATCCATCAGGCATGTTTCAGCTGTTAATTTCCAGCATTGGTTCTGCGGGTCTTCTCAGCAGTTTATGATATTCTTGACCACGGTATCCTTCAGGGTTATCTCATTGGTATGGGACTTGGAAGTAATATTTTGCAGTGGCTCTCTAGTCCTCGGAGGAGTGAACTCAGAAGGTGGTGCTGGCAAACTCATGTTCAACACCTTGGCCTTTGGCATCCTTCAAGTTTCTCTTTCGTCCCCTATGCTATTTAACATATATAGTACAGGAAACTGTTGGGAGAGGTTGCCTAGAGTTTTGGGGTTCAAAACCATCAGAATGTTGCTGATTACATTATCTCTCTTTTCTGTCTAACTTCCAAGGAGGCCAATCCTGTTCTAAATCAATGTCTGGCAAGATGAATGCAAGCAGACTGAAACTTAATCAAGACAAGACAGAGGTGCTCCTGGGCAACTGAAAGGCAGATCAAGGAACTGGAATTCATTGGCAAGATGAAGGCAAGCAGAATGAAACTTGATCAAAACAAGACAGAGGTGCTCCTGGGCATCTGAAAGGCAGATCAAGGAACTGGAATTCAACCAGCACTGTATCGGGTTACATTATCCCTTAAAAGCAAAGCTTGCAACTCATCTTTGAGCCTCTGTTAATTTTATTTTATTTTATGTAAAATATTTTTCTCAGTAGTGGCCATGAATTCTTCTTCACAGTTAAAACTAGTGTGCCAGCTGCACTTGTTGCTCAAGACATCCAATTTGGCTACAGTGACATATGCCTTAGTTACAGCCCATTTGGATTACTACAATGTACAGTACTCTATGTGGAGATACCTTTAAATATAGTTGAGAAACTTCCGTTAGTACAAAATACTGCAGCCGGATTGCTGACTGGGGCTGGTTATACATTATCTCTCTTTTCTGTCTAACTTCCAAGGAGGCCAATCCTGTTCTAAATCAATGTCTGGCAAGATGAATGCAAGCAGACTGAAACTTAATCAAGACAAGACAGAGGTGCTCCTGGGCAACTGAAAGGCAGATCAAGGAACTGGAATTCAACCAGCACTGTATCAGGTTACATTATCCCTTAAAAGCCAAGCTTGCAACTCATCTTTGAGCCTCTGTTTATTTTATTTTATGTAAAATATTTGTCTCAGTAGTGGCCATGAATTCTTCTTCACAGTTAAAACTAGTGTGCCAGCTGCACTTGTTGCTCAAGACATCCAATTTGGCTACAGTGACATATGCCTTAGTTACAGCCTGTTTGGATTACTACAATGTACAGTACTCTAGGTGGAGATACCTTTAAATATAGTTGAGAAACTTCAGTTACTACAAAATACTGCAGCCGGATTGCTGACTGGGGCTGGTTAAAAGGAGCACATACAGTGGTGCCTTGCATAGCGAGGTTAATCCGTTCCGGATTAACCCTCGCTATGTGAAAACATCGCTGTACGGAACGGGGAAGCCCCGTTGGAAGTAGCATATAATTCTCTTGTTACATCAGCTTCATCAACTACTGATCTAGTAGGCTCTTTGAGATCAAATGTCCCCACACAACCTTCCCTGTATCTTACAATTTTCCAGAGAGTCCTCTCCTCAGTCTCATCATCACCTTTACAGTATGTTTGATAGGAACCTGAGAGGTGGCCTTTTCAGTGCCTGCACCCTGGTTACAGAGGACAGGTTTGCCCCTTCTCTCCTGCTCTTTTGGTGGCAAGTGAAAATCTTTGTCCTCAGACAAGCATTTCATATCCAATTTTAATGTAATTCACTGCCCTATGCTTCATGCTTTATATCTCTTTACTGGCTTTTTAATGTTTCATAAATTGTTTTAGATACATCTTTTAACACTATTAGGTTTAAAACCTTTTAATAGTCACTTAATTTTTTTAAAAAAACTCCTGTGTGCTTTAAATGACGTTGTGAGTCACCTTGAGTCCCTTTGCCATGAGAAAAATAATGTGTTGCATCAGCTTCATCAGCTACTGATCTAGTAGGCTCTGTGAGTTCGAATGTTCCCACACAACCTTCCCTGTGTCTTACAATTTTCCAGAGACTCCTCTCCTCAGTCTCATCATCACCTTTACAGTATGTTTGATAGGAACCTGAGAGGTGGCCTTTTCAGTGCCTGCACCCTGGTTACAGAGGACAGGTTTGCCCCTTCTCTCCTGCTCTTTTGGTGGCAAGTGAAAATCTTTGTCCTCAGACAAGCATTTCATATCCAATTTTAATGTAATTCACTGCCCTATGCTTCATGCTTTATATCTCTTTACTGGCTTTTTAATGTTTCATAAATTGTTTTAGATACATCTTTTAACACTATTAGGTTTAAAACCTTTTAATAGTCACTTAATTTTTTTAAAAAAACTCCTGTGTGCTTTAAATGACGTTGTGAGTCACCTTGAGTCCCTTTGCCATGAGAAAAATAATGTTAACATTAAATAAATAACATAAAAATAAAATATGATCAGTGCATTTCTAAATACGCTGACTGTTTAAATGACATACATCTGGAGAAATCTCCAAGCTAGCCTGTGCCCGTATGCAAGAGTGCTTGCACCATTTTGAAACCTTTTGTGCTATTTTAAGGCTTGTACACTTCCCTAACGTATAACTTTAAGACAGAAGTGTATTTCTAGTGACATTTTATTTTTTAAAGAAAATGAATACAGCATGACCACCTCCAAGCAAAGCTATCTGGGGGAATATTCTGCATAAAATGTGCTTGTGGCATACTTTCAGTGATCCTACAGAATATGTACTGAGTCACACTGAAGCCATCCTAATTTATACCAGCGAGACTGAACTGGCATCAATCCAGCTGTTTTGACTTAACTGTATTGCTGCCCAGTGATTTTCCAAGCAATAAATTATGTATTGTGCTCAGCTAAAAAAAGTATTATCATTTAAAAGAATGAAGAACCTTGTGGCTCCTTGAAGACTTGCAGGTTTATTATAGCCTAGTCTTTTGTGGTCTACAGTCCATTTCATCAGGTGCAGACGTTAAAGGCTTATATACATACATGCTTTGGAGAAAGCCATCAATAATAAGGTCAGTAGAAAATAAAATAAAGAACCTCATTTGACATTCTGCATTTTGACATTCTCTTTTCATCTTAAAGTAATGCATAGCTGCACACTGTGCAGCCTACTACAGTACAATCCTGTTAAGTTGCGGTTAGCCTCTGAAGGACTCTGCAACACAGTTTCTCCATTTAGGATCACAGAAGTGTACCATCATGAAGCTCCTCTTTGGTGTAGCACATCTGATGCTTGCTGAGCAAGCAAAATCCTGCAGTTTGTGTGCCTTACTGTAGAACTGACTTTCCAAGCTACTCATTCTTCTGTTTCACTACCATCCAGTTTCACAATCTGTATGCCACTAAGTCACTGAAAATACATGAGGGAATTTTAATAGTCCAGTTTATTCCAATTCTAATAAACTAGCTTATTGCGGGATTCACCTATACGTTCATAATTATTTTTGGTTGTGATGTTTACCACGTGACCCCTTGCTTCTTCAAACAAAGGCTCACGCCGTCCTCTCACTTGCAGATATCAGTTGAGAAGCTACTTCTCTTTCTCACTGCCACCAGTGGATTTCCATTATCCACAACGTAAAAGACTTTTTTCAGACACTTGCTGCCAACAGAACTGATTTATCAAAATGTATTAAATTATATTGGAATCACATATGTTATTTATTCATTGCATACAATCAAATCAATATCATATATCTTTTGCCACCAGCTGCTCTATCTATGCACAGTGGTGCCTCGCTTGATGATTACCTCGTTAGACAAGGAAATGGCTTGACAATTAGTTTTTTGCGATCGCTATTGCGATTGCTAAACAATTACTGAATGGGCCTTTTTCACTTAACGTTGATTGGTTCCCTGTTTCGAGAACCAATTTTTCACTTAATGATTATCTAAAACAGCTGATCGTCGGGTTTCAAAATGTCCGCCCGCTGTGCAAAATGGCTCCCCGCTGTGCTTTAGGACGGATTCCTTGCATTACACTCACCGGAAAAGGACCGCCCTATGGACGATCTTTGCTGGACGCTGAGGTATTTCGCCCATTGGAACACATTGAACCAGTTTTCAATGCATTTCAATGGGCTTTTTCATTTCGCTTGACGAGGATTTCGCTTAATAGCGATTTGAACGGAATGAATTATCCACATCAAGCGAGTTTATCTGTACCAGCTTATCTTTATCGCTCTCCTTAGTATCTCTGATTATCTCTCTAGATCTTCTTTTCCATCTCTCTTTCTTATTTCCCACTGATGTCTTCCATTCTGTTGCAACTGCCACTCTTGCTCTGCCACACCTTCTTCTATTCGCTGACTTGCTCTCCACTCCTCCCATAGGCTCATGCAAATGAGATCTGGACATAAGTGACAGGAGTGACGTGGGGCCGATTGTCACATAGGTTATTCCACCTCAATTTTTATGATGTCTTCCACTTTTCTGATGAAATTGTGCTGTTGCCTCATTCCCTCCACTCTCTTCTCTCCCATTTCCCATGCAGTACCTTGTTATTTGTGCTTTGTACCAGGATAAGTCCTGTTTGTTTGGAGTTCTGAGCCAGCTGTCCCCGTTCATGTTCCCCATAAAGCAAAACTGCTGTGACCACAGGCATGGAATACAGTATCAGTACAGGTACCTAGTGGCACAGGGTAGGGTAAGTGGCACTGCATTTTTACTAGCAATCCCATAAAGCAAAACTGCTGTGACTACAGGCATGGAATACGGTATCAGCACAGGTACCTAGTGGCATAGGGTAGGGGTAAGTGGCACTGCATTTTTACTAGCAAAGATCTCTTTTGCAGCATTGACAGTTACAACCTCAGTCAGTTATAGACTGAAATCTAGAATTAGCCTGTGAACGTCTCAACATTAATTGGATAACAATTTGAAAACTAAGCAAATGCAGTTGCAGTTTGTTCGCCACCTCTCATACTAGTTGTAGTTTGTGTGACTTGGAGGGACTTATCCAATTGTTCCTTCCAGCCATTGCATTCACAGAGAGCCCTGCCTGTCTACTAAGTGCTTTCCCCCTCTCTTTTGTCTGTTGGAACCCATTGTTTGTTGCTGTTGTTCTGTTCAGTTGGGTTGCCAGTATACTGTATGTGTACTAAAGAAAGAGGCATACACAAGTCTTTAATTTTAAGCAAGTGTAGGTAAAGAATTTTTTTTATTCTTTTCTCCCCACTCCATTTTAATCAAGGTATATGTGTACTAAAGAAAGAAGCATACACAAGTCTTTAATTTCAAGCAAGTGTAGGTAAAGATTTTTTTTAAAATTCTTTTCTCCCCACTCCATTTTAATCAAGACATTTCATAAGCGACTGAGGAGAAAAAGTTGTCATTTATTTTCTAAGATTGTAACCAAAGTTGCCTGGAAAGAGAAAGGAAAAATTAATCTTGATCACAGCAAGGCATTTTTGGGGGAAATTT